TTTTGAGACAGAGTCTCACTTTGTTGCCCAGGCTAGAGTGAGTGCCATGGCGTCAGCCTAGCTCACAGCAACCTCAAACTCCTGGGCTCAAGCGATCCTGCTGCCTCAGCCTCCCGAGTAGCTGGGACTACAGGCATGTGCCACCATGCCCGGCTAATTTTTTGTATATATATTTTTAGTTGGTCAATTAATTTCTTTCTATTTTTGGTAGAGACGGGGTCTCGCTCAGGCTGGTTTCGAACTCCTGACCTTGAGCGATCCGCCCGCCTCGGCCTCCCAAAGTGCTAGGATTACAGGCGTGAGCCACCGCGCCCGGCCTTAGATTGCTTCTTATTGGGTCTTTCATTTAATTTACTATAAAGTCACCAAATAAGCTTCAGAGTCATCTATTTAAATCTGGCCTCATTTTACCAATGTCTGCATTTACATATTAATCGTTGATAAAGTGCTAGAGATACTAAAGCCAAAATTGTTTATAATACGTGGTGATGTATATTCACTTTGCTTCAGTACTTCTGGCCATGTGTGTTTTGTTTGTGAAAAATGCAATTCTTAAAAGCAACAAACACAAAAATTAGGTTAAATATAACTAATCATACAAGTCAGTTTTCTACCATAATAAATTATATTCTACTTTAATCCAAAATCTACAACATTTTAAAACTCTACCATGAAACTGATGGTGCTTTATGTTATGGGCTGAGTTGTGTCTCTCCACCCTCCACCACCAAATTCCTATGTTGAGGTCCTGACCCTCAGTCCCTCAGAATGGGACTATATTTAGAGACAGGGCCTCTAGAGAGGTCATTAAGTCATGGGGGGGGGGCACTAATACAATCCAACTGGAGAGAAGATTAGAACAGACACATACAGAGGAAAGACCAAATGGAGATACAGGGAGAAGATGTCTATCTACAAGCCAAGGAGACAGTCCTCGTGAGAAATCAACCCTGCTGACACCTTGATCTTGGACTTCTGGCCAACAGAAAATCAACTCCTGTTGTTTGAGCCTATCAGTCTGTGGTACTTTGCTATGGCAGTCCTGGCAAACAAATACACTTTCTAACAGTATACTTCACAACTATAAAGTGGAGGAGAAAGGAAACCTGTTTTTTTTTTAAGGTTGTTGCATTTAGGCAGTGTCACACCACACTGCAAAGAAATTATGGTGAGAAACCCACTATCATGGGGGCCTGAATGGTCAAAGCAATTCGGACAGACACAAACCTATACAGTTCCTGGGCCCCGCAGAGAAGGGCACATAGCAGTATGGATGGCGTCCTTGTGCATTCTCGGGAAAGAAGCGTTCTGGCTGGAATTCTTCAGGATTGGGGAAGTATTTTGGATCTCTATGCAATGCATAGGGAATGATGACGGCTTCGGTGCCTTTTGGGACTCTGTAACCCGCTGTCAAGAAGTAGTCAAGATGTCATGAGACTAGAACAAGACAGACATTTGAAAAATTCCCTCCCCCTACTATTTTAATTATAGAATATTTACCCACTACACAGTCTTCATTAAGGGTGCGGGCAAATAAAGGAACAGAAGGAAACAGGCGAAGGGTCTCCTTAATAACACAGTCCAGATATTTCAGTTTCTTCAGGTCTTCTGCAGTAGTAGGACGATCAGACTTCCCTGATTAAAGTAAGAATATAGGATGACAATGAAAGAACTGTCCGGGCAGTGGAGACAACAGAGAAGAAAATCTAATGTTATGATAATAAAAAAAAAAATGAGATAATATGCTAAGTAAAAAAAAAACAACAACAAAAAAACAGACACCAAAGGTCATACATGGTACAATTCCATTTATAGGAAGTACTTGGTATAGGCAAATCCACAGGGACAGGCTGTGGATTTACTAATCCAGTAAATTAGTGGATGCCAGCCCTCAGGGAAGGAGGAATGAAAAGTGTCTGCTTCATGGTCTAGAGTTTCCTTTCCGGGTGCTGAAAATGTTTTGGGATTGGATAGAGGTGGCAGTTTCACAACATTGTAGATGCACTAAATGGCACTGCATTGTACGTCTTAAAGTGGTTAATTTCCTGTTACGTGATATTTAAGTCAACTTAAACTAACAAAATGAATTGATACTTGCAACTCACTACCCAAAAATTAGTTGCTCAAACATTTTAAAACTAATATTGAGAATGGAAGAAGTGAGGCACAATGAATGAGCAGGAACCATGAGGAGCAGCAGGACAAGGATTGTAGCAATAATGACTGTGTCACTCATTATGGGGAATCAAAAAGCATTTGTGAGACCAGAAATGAACCAGAAATCGTGGAGGATACGAAAAACGTGAACCTACTCCAAAAGAGCTTGTAAGCTTTTAGAAGATCAAATTTATCCACCTGAGGCAATCTCAGAGAAATTAAAATCGATATGGAAAAAATAAAATGACTGCAGAAACAAAGCCTGAAAGTTTAGATTGTCTCCATTCTGCAACATAAAGTGTAACCTCTTGATATGAAATTTCAGCCCTCGAACAATCTGAACTCTCAAAGCTGCTTTTCCAACCTCATCTGTCAGTGGATGAGAGATGAATTCCTGTTGTCTCTCCCTGTTCACTGTTGCCCTCCAAACCAGAAATTTTCCACTTCTGCACCATTGTTCATCTGGTTCCTCTCTTTCTAGGAGGACTTCTCTCTCCAATTATTTTTGTCTATCTTTCCTTCCTCACGTTTTTCTCTATAAAACTGTATCAGATGCCACATCATTGCTTGGCTAACCCAACTTTTTTCCCTTTCACCTTCCAGCAATGGAGCACCTTGTGACATGCAATTTTAAAAGGGATAAAGTTGATAGTAGCCCCTTTCTGGTATGCTGATAATGGTTCCCAAAAAATATCAGGTCCCAATCCCTGGAACCTATAAATGTTACCTTATTTTGGAAAAAAAGGGAGTCTTTGTAGATTTTATTAAATTAAGGATCTTAAAGAGGGGGAGAACATCCAGATGGGCCCTGAATACTATTCCAAATATCCATGTAAGAGGAAGGCAGACACACACACACACACACACACACACACACACACACGCGAGAGAGAGAGAGAGAGAGAGAGAGAGAGAGAGAGAGAGAGAGAGAGAGAGAGAGAGAATGTGCTCAAACACAGGGATTTCAGGGATGTGCCTACAAGCTGAGGAATGCTGGCAGCCACCAGAAGCTCAAGAGGCAAGGAATGGATTTTTCCAGAAGGAACGCAGCTCTGCCAACATGTTGATTTAGGCCCAGTGATGCTGACTGTGGACTTCTGGTATCCAGAACCACGAGAGGATACATTTCTGTTGCTTTAAACCTCCCAGTTGGTGGAATTAGTTACAGCAGCTGCAGGAAACCAGTATATCCTTCACTCCCACACCCCCTTTCTTCTTGCTTTGAAGATGAACATGCTGCCTGGAACACCAGTCAAGAAAACAAAAGCCAAGATAGTGGAGATGACAGAGAGAAAAAAAACAGCGTGACTGGGACCCTGAGATATCCCTGCTGACATCAGCCTAGGACTCCTTACCTCCGGGTTGCTTGTGCTATAATGGAAATTTATCGTCTGTCACTCTAGTGCACAGCCCATGACCCAACATTTTATGTACGTGTCTGTTTCGCCCATGAGGCAGGTGGACCCTTGAGGACAGTAACATTATTCTGGGCATCCCCAGCATCTGGGCCAGGGCAGCCCACGCAGGCGAGTGGCAAATGCCTGTACATGAATGGAAGAGGCTTCCAAAGGCCATAGGCACTGGAAAGGATGCTATATGGGAGCAAAGGATCCCAACGGGAGCCTTCCTGCTCACGACACGTCTTTAGGACAGGTCAGACTGTAACACCTTCCTGGGCAAGAATGACACCTGTCTCAGTGGACTCAGCACCTGCAACATAACTAGCGAAGGGGCCAAACATACCAAACACTTCATCCAACTCTCTGTCCACTTTTTTCTGGACTTCTGGATTAGAACCCAATAGGTATAAGGACCAGTTGATTGCAGCTGCAGTTGTGTCGTGGCCCTACAAATGGAAGAAAAACGATAGCTTAAAAAGCAGAGTTATAGCGAGGAGATGAGGGGTGACTGTAGTGACTCCACTTTGAACTATCGGTGAGATTTGACAGCTGCAATGAGACTGCAGAACATAACAAAGGAATTCCGTACGACATCTTCCCTCTGGGAGAAACCAGCAAAACAGTCCCTGAAATGTAGAGGTTTGTGCTTGGAGATGACATTGCCCTGCCACAGTGTGTGGCACAGCTGGCGGGAAGTGGCTGGGCAGAGTTAATAAAGGGGCATTCCAAGGGAACAAGATTAGCTACACCTTTTTGAAGGGGAAAAAAAAGTCTGGCTTTCATGAACTACCTTGTCAGATGTGTACTTCTACGCCTCCCTGATTTGAAAGGTAGGCTTTGCCATTGACGGCAGACACCAGAGAGTATATGTGTGGTTCTGAGAAACATCCTCTGCATCAAGAGGTTGACAAATAGCCTCATTTAATACTTGCTGAGTTTTAGGGAAAAATACTAAGTGCTTTGCAGAAACCGATTCAATTAATCTTCACAAAAACTCATCATTGTTATTTACATTTTAGATTAAAAACAGAGGCAATAAAAAGGTTTAAATAACTTCCCCTGGACCAGACAGCTGAGTAGGAGGCAGAGACGGGAACTGAACCCCTGGAGTGTCTGATGACAAAGATGACAAATCGTGTGCATCAGAAACTCAGATGCCTTTTTTGCTTTGCTTGGAGGGGATTACCACATGGGGCTTTTAAAAACCAATTTTTTTCTTTATTTTGCAATTTACATATAGAGATATTCACTGTTTGCAATACTTAATATAATATTTAGGTTATCTTTGTAAAAAGCACTTCATATATATTTTTTTAATTTGAACACCAGCAATCCCTTTAGAACCATGAGCTGGTTAAACTCTCTTGGAGGGCTCTTACTATGCTCTTTAGCTGGAGCAGCTCATAAAAGCACTGGCTAAGCGCTCATTCGCTAGAACTTCAAGAAGGAGGTGATGAGGAAGTGGACTTGTGTGTTGTGGGAGGCTGAAAGAAAACATGAAGCAATACAGAGAACTGAGAGCAATTTCTGGCTGCTCTTCTGCTTGGGAAAAGTCTGACGAATCTTCGCTTTTTTTGAAGAAAAACTGTGCATAATACTGCTGTACCCACCACTAGTCAAAATAATTTTCTGAAGAAGGAACTGGTACTGAATCAGTTCCTTAAATTGTAGAATCTCTAATTAAAATATGATGAATCTTCCTTAAGTTATGCTAAACTACTTTTAAAATTTGATTAAATTTTTAAAAATAATGCTAGAGATTATAAATATCACTGGAATTTGTTTAATGACATCTGAAAACAACATAACAATGACAGAATACCTCAAACATGAAGGTGTCCACTTCCTCCCGGATAGCTTCATGACTTAGCTTGTTTCCTTCCTCATCAGTCACACTTAAAAGCAAGTCAAGAAAAGCCCTGCGTTTATTTTTGGAGGGGGCAGAGCCCGTGTCATTCCCTTTCCCTTCCTCATCTGTCTTTATTTCATTGGCCCGTTCAGCGATGACCTGTATGATTTAAAGGACAGTCACATGCTTTGGTTTCGATTTCAACACAGCCTATTAACATCCTTTCCCATGAAAATATGCCACTTCTTTAACTTATTTTTTCTACACCTTTCCCTCTCAACAACAACGTAGGCTCTTGTGACAGGAGAGCCTCCTGTTACTATTTAGGGTGTTACTAGGTGAAGCTTTAAAAAACAAATTTAACATCAGACAAATTCATAATTATTAAGGGCTATTTTTCTCAGTCTTTCCAACAAGGGAATAGAATCTTAGTCTCCTGAATAGTACTTTAGAGATTCAAAAGAGCTAGTGAGAAAAAGTTTAAATGGTAGAGAGAATGCAGTCATCATATAATGGACTAATTATAGTGTAAGATACTGGGCTGTAAGGACAATGGACACCTTCCAGCTTCTGTTTACTGCTTGTTTGCTACCCGCAAGGCATTATGAGTGCATTATGGGATGCAGAGTAAAAAGACAAAGAACGCGGAAACCTGAGTCTCTCAGCTAGGACCCGGAACAGGTTAGAGCCTATCAGGGGCAGGATAAAGTAAAAATCACTGTATGGGCGGATGCATGATCAGTATGTAAACAGTTTAAGTATAAAAGGCTCACTAGCACACAAAAGGGGCCCAAAAAAGAGGCCACTGCGCTGGCACTCTGGGGGCTCGGACCCTAGCTCGAGCTAGACAATAAAACTCCTATTGATAATTACAGCCTCAATGATTCTGTCTCTCTGTCCCACAGCCCTGCGAATCTCGACTGTAACAATGGATCACTCTTAATTACATATTGTATTGGAGAAAAGAAACAGCAGTTGATTAGTCCATTCGCCCTGCATGGTTGCAAGTCCTTCTGCCTAGCAAAGGGGGCCGCCTTGCAAAACTAACCAGAGAACACCCACTCCCACAATTTCCCCAGTAACGACTGATGATCAATCCTACGAGTTCTCTCACCAACAGACACAACTTCTGGAAAGAGCGGAATGGATGGAAAAGAGATGTAAATCTCTCCCTTTCAAAATTATTTTTTTGAGAATCTGCTTTTACACAGTGCCTGAGAAAACAGCCGGAGAACGAACCGCAGCCCCGGCCATGTCTCAGGGACAGAGTCACATCTCCTGTGATAATCCCTTCTCCAAGGAAGAGCAGGAAACCCAGACTTGGACTTTGACATCCTTGCAGTTTTTGTTACCTACCTGCTGCCCCTTTTGTTATCAACTGACAGCCAAGGCTATATTTTTCTCTTTGTCCCCTTAAAATCAAGCAAGCCACTTGGCCTCACTATTGGCACCTCCCTTCTTTTTCTTTGGTATGCCATGCCATCTCCCTGCTCTTCTTCTTTCCCTTCTCTTTCCTCCCTCTCTCTCTCTTCTAAGAAGGTAAAATAAACTTTTTCACTTTTATATCTTAGCCACTGCGTGAGAAATCTTTCTCCACCTGTGCCATGAGTACCTACTAGGCTTTCCACCCTAGCGCCTAGAATCCTCTTTCCTCAGACGCCGGCATGGCTGGGTCCCTCCCTCCTTTCAGGTCTCTGCTCATTGTCACACTATGAGGGAGAGATCTTCCCTCATCACTGCCACCATCGTCTCCGTCCCCAGCACTTGCTAGCTTCCAGCCCTACTGTATTTTTCTCCATTTCACTTACTACCCAACATTATATTATACTTATTATTTTACATTATGCTTATTATTATTCTATTCTATTAGAATTATTGTTTAGTATCTTCCTCCCCCAACTCAAATGCTGCCATCCATGTGGTGGCAAATTTGTTTTTGTTCTTTCATATATTTTTCCAACCTCTAGGGCACTGCTTGGCATTTTAAGAATGCCCATTAGATACTTCTAGAATAAATAAAATAATGAAAGGCCATAAACTTAAACATTTCAATTTTCTTTTTCCTATCAGGCAATTGACCAAACCTGCTACCAAGAGGCTTGAATGAATAGATTCTAAGCTCTTTGAGGGCAAACACCATGTCTCTTCTTTTATTCTTGGTGGAATTCCTAGTGCCTAGGGCCCAGCAGGCAATTTTCAATATTTATTAAATGAATAATATTTTCCATCCAATTTGGAATTCATTAATTATGGGTAATGATATTAATGCATAAAATGTAAGGAGAATATAATTATAAAATACAACCTGCTGGCTATTCTCTTACAACTGGCAGATTACTCTATCTTCCACTTTGGTCAGCTCAAGCCAACATCTCATTCATCCATCTACTGACTAATTCATCATTTGATCTGTTGGTGGTAGGGCGTACCTCCCCATAAGGAATTAATGCCAAAATTTACAGCAAAGAAAGACTGTATTTAAATAGGCACTTCTTAAAGTACATTTAAATTATAATTTGTTGTGTACTTCAATTAAATCTTGCTTTCTCACAAACGCATCTTTAACACAAAGACTGACATCCTACATTCAAAACAACAGCACTATCTCCTGGTTAATTTTTAAATGGAAAGAAAACAGCGATATCTAGTTAATTTCAGTGTTTTCTAAGTTAAAATATTGCCATAAATACCCTTTGCTTTTGAAAACTACTGTCTAATCCAAACATTTCCTAGAAGATTCTTAAACACAAATCCTTTGTCTTTATTCTTTTAACACAGCACCCTACTTGTCAATAAGTGCTTGTAGCTCACATCACATTTTGTAATTATTTGTTTTCAGATAACCCCCCCTACTAGAATAACCTCCTTTCAGGCAGGGAACACACATACCTTTCTATATTTCGAACATTTGTTATAGTGTTTGGCACTTAGCAAGTGCTTACTTAATATTAATTAAGTACATCATTTAAATATAACCATGCAGACCACTTTTTTTTCATTATTATTCAATTCAACTTTTATTTCCTGAGACACAGGCTCCATGGTCCTATATTGGGTATGTTAACAAAACATAAAAATCATGGACTTACCAAAAGTTCTGGAAATGAACAGTGGTGGTGGTTGCATGACATTGTGAATGTACTTAATGCTACCAAACTGTATACTTAGAATGGTTATAATGGAAAATATTATGCTATGTATATGTTACCACAATAAAAAAAAAATCAGTGACTTACATTGTTGGTAAAAGTATGTAGGATCTTAAGACCCTTCTTGTGTTCCCATCCTTCCTTAAACATAAGGTACCAAGACTCAAGCCAAAGCCAGGGCATCTTCATTCTTCGGAATATCAAATCACTCATCCTACAAATAGGAAAAAATACATCGACTGTAAAATCAGAAATGCGTATTATTTCTGGAGCACCTATTTGGTACCTGGCCTTGATGAAGATAATTGTGCAAATGATGGTGGTTAGTCTTGGAGGCTACTAAGAGCTCCATGATTTATGTTTAAAAATGCAGGCATGGGCTATTCTACAACCAGAAAAGCTTAAAAAATAATAAATTCTTTAGAAGAATGAAGAATTCATTATAAAACATCCTAACTAGCCATCTGGTCTCCTGTCTCTATTTCTCCAGGGAGAATTTCCAACTCCCCAAGACTGCCTGGGGCTTTGGTACCAAAGATTGAGATGAAATCTGTTTCTTTTTAAGGTCCACTCATTTGTTTGGCCACTCCTCTGGAGTGACAGTAAACAACTGGCTGCCTTCTTCTAGAAGAAAGTGCTTACTAAATACCATCTGTCACGTGGCTGTCCCGAGCACCTCCCTCTCACTCCGAGTGGTAGAGCAGAAAGATTTCGACAGGATCTCCTCCTTCGGGACCAGCTTAGGTGCCAGTACTTCAGAAAGGCCTTTCCTGACCACTCATTCTGTAAAACATTTCTGTTTTCCTCTCTAATATCAACTTGAGCTTTCCTTTCTAAGCAATGATTATGATTCATAAGTTTGTATTTCTTTCTCCAGTGCCTGTCTCCCATGCTATTCTGTTTTTTGTGTACTACTATAAAACCAGTCAGTACCTTGTGCAATGATTGGAAGATTATAGATGCTCAATAAATATTTGTTAAAATGAAGTGAACTGAGCAGAGGACTTAAATAGGATCCATCAAATCAAGTCCTGGCTCTGCCTCATACTAACTGAATAATTGCAAGCGATTTTAAAGTAAATTGTTTCAATTACAAAAACAATGCCTACTCAGTGCAGAAAATATGGAGAATGAGAATAAATAACGACAGAAACAAAACACAAGAGAAGCACATATACATAACAATGATACCTACTGCTAACATTTTGGTATAGTAGCTTCTAGTTTTTTCTTTCTATGAATAATTTTCTAATACTGTAATAGTTATACTACAAAAAACCTTTATATCTTTCATATGTATAAGCATCACTTAGCATCATAATGTAAGCATCATTATGTACATTATAATGTAATCTCAATATATTAGAAAATAATTTTTTCTAATTATTGTAATTTTTAAAATTACTGCATAATCTGGATTTGCAGTAGTTTACATAACCATTCCCCTGCCGCTTAAATACACACTTAAACAATGAGGTGAACTTCTAGTATAACATTTCAACTTGAAACAATAAAAAAGATACAATAGACAGAAATTATTGGCAAAGATTTTTAAAGCCCGAATCAACAATAATTTTAAAAATCATTGAAAGGACTCTATTTACCTATAGACTGCACGGACATACTCAGAGTCATCATTACTTTGAGCACCAATATTCTTCCCCATAGCTGTTTCTGTAAAACATGGTGAGAAGCAAACATTCACTCCATGCACATAGCTTGTGTTTATTTTGCAGTGGCAGACACTAAAGAAGATGTAAATTCTGTTCTGTTTTTATATATTTTAGAATTGTTCTTTCTACCTTTCCTCTCTTCTCTTGCCTCTTCTGCTTCTTCTACCACCTGTTCCTGTTCTTTCTTCCCTGTCCCCTTCCTGGGAAGTTGGCTTGGTGACTGCTCCACTCAGAGCCCTTGGAGTTGGCCACTGCTTCTTGGGAGGCTAATGTAGCAGGAGAACCGCCTGGAAGAATCCACTGTCCTTTCTAACCCCTCATCTGCCTCCCTAACAGAATGTGATTTTCCATTCAGAAAATTTCTATTTTTATCTTTACACCATAAATGTAGAAACAAATCAATGAGACTTACCACAGATTATATCTAAGGCACAAAGAGTGATGTAAAAAAAGCAGTTAAATGCTTCTTGGTTAACATGTTTTTCAAGCTTATTAACCAATATATTTGCTTGTTCATTCATGATATCTAAGAAATCTTCCAGAATAGTAAAATGGAAAGTGGGTGTTAACATTTTTCTCCTGGAGCGCCATTTGTTTCCGGTACTAGAAATATAACACATGGTTATGAAAAACAAAAAAAAAAGAGAAATAACATCCAAATAAAGCATAAATCTAGCCAAATCAATAAAATTCTCTTGAAATAGCATAACAGCTTCATCTACAGATTCTCAAATGCTTTGGACAGAATAACAAAGAGAGATTATATATATTTACATATATAATCATGTGATTATATATGATTTACATATATATAAGCATAAATTCGTGTATAGACAAAATACAAATATTTTTGGCATTGTTCTTTAATATTCATATTCAATATTTAAAATAGCATTCATAAAATTGAAAATGTTAAGAATTCGTCTCAATTTTTAAGTTCTGTTTTTGTAAAAATAGGAATTGTTTTCTCTGCCCTATCAATGCCTTCCTCCTCCCATGATCCACACACTGTATGATTCTACCTTGCCCTTTACTGGGCTTGGTTCCTCCAAAGTCCCTGCAAAGTACCTGCCTTCCTCTTGCTGAGTCCTCTCTCAGAGGATGGAGTCCTATTTCTGGATGCCAGCTCAGGACTACAGTCACTGTGCTTCTTGATGAGATTTTCCTGCTCCATACATGCCTTTGCTTTATCCCTTTTATATCAGGACCTTGTAATTCTTCTTGGAACACTGGACATAGACACTATTGAATTCCACAGCTAGAGATTTGCCCATACTGCACACACCTGGACTACTGTCTGGCAAAGGCCCATTGTTAGCTAGGCCTATTTTTCCAGCCTTTCTCCTCCTTCCTGAGAGCACAGTCTCGCTACAGAAAAACAAAAACAAACTACCTTGTGTTGATTTCTGAAACAAGTTACACATATGAGGAACCGTTTCTATAAGACAGCTTTACAAATGTACACAGCCATACCTTGTAAGAAGTCCTAGGCCAAGCCACGGTTCTAGAAACTCGTACACAAAGGATTTGTCAATTTGCTTTGAACTAGCCAAAATTGCCTTAGGAAGAGAAAAATATATTTGAGAGCCATATAGACATCAAAACAACTTCAATTAAAGGAAAACCTGGCTAGATAGAACACAACTACTTTTTAAGGCATCATTTCATAACCTTGATTTTCTCCATGGTTCATTTTCATTCCTGTGCCTCAAAGAAATTCAATTAGAGTTTTGAACATAGTCTTGGGGACTAAATAGAGTTGAGGGAAAGAAAAATGTCCAAGATGGTTCCTGCCATGAACTAGGAACCAGGTGGACTCATTCAATGAGGGTGAGGGGAGGCGAGGAAGGAGCAGGTGAACAGAGCAGGAGCTCTGTTTATCCCATTTTTACCTCTTGACCCAAATCCTTTTCTCATCATACCACAAGATAATTTCCCCAGTGTCACAGCTATAAGTAAAAGATCTACAAACTTTTTGAGGACTAATTTCAATAGCATGGATTAATAATATCTACCCTATAAAATCAGATTAATATTTTCTTTTAAATTTGGAATCATAAATTTATCATCAATATAAGATCCTGAACACCTTGAAGGAAACATCCATTTTATTAGTCATATATTTCTAGAGTCTTCAGTGTCTGTTAGATGAGAAATACTCTCCATGTGGAATAATCTATTTATAGTTCTAAAAAAACTATAGCCTTCTGTAGACTTCCCAAAAAAGGAGAACGAATGTATTGAGACCTGAAAGCAAATGTGCACTTATATCAGGACTGGGTTAAGCTCCCAGGATTCAGACTACTTCTGGAAAGCATTACATGGCAACTATATAACCTAAAGTATTTAATGGAGTACTGTTTGCACTGAAATAAATGAAGCATAAAGACATATCTATCATATTTATTCTGATGAGGTTCTCACATTATCAAATATACAGTGCAATATTACTCATATTTAGCACATACTCACCTCCACATTTTCTGCTTGATAAAGGGCCACCATCGGCACTGGCCCAAGCCAGAGTTTCAGCAGTGGCACATGGCGATATTCTTCTGTGTACTGAATTAGCTGCTGAAAAAATTCTGAGAGAAAAATATTAAAATTCAATCAAGACAAGAATTTTTGTGAATGTATTGTACAGATGTTCATTTCCTCATTTCGATAAAGATACTAATTACCTAATGTGTTACCATTACAGGAAGCTGGGTGGAGGGCATATATAGTATGGAACTCTCCATGCTATTATTGCAACTTTTCTGTGGGTTTAAAATTATTTCAAAATAGTATTTGCCACAGCAAATAAATATAACATAATGAATGTTAGCTATAATGGAATAACTGTTATTAGGTTTTGATGTACTGAAATGCGCACTCTTTTTTTTGATCATTGCCCAATATCTCAGAGCTAGTAAGTGGTGTACCAAGATTGAAGAATGTCTCTCAGATAAAACAGCTGTGAAAACTGCTGTGAAAAGGGCTGGGTCAAATCGCCAGTATCAAAAAAATCCTGCTTCATGCTAATATTATATATTGCCTGCCTTGGTCTAGTCTGGCAGAGGGGACTGGGATGGTTTGAAGGTATCAGGTCCAAGAGCTGGGAGCAGCTGAGGAAGGCACCGTTGTGCGTCTCTGAAAAACATGAGATTGGGGGTAGAGGCCAATTGGAAGTGAACCACACTACTCAAGGTAAGATCACTGAGGCTAGAATTTGCACATTAGAGAATGAAAGGCATAGTCCTTTGTATTGTGTTTCCCTGAAAATAAGACCTACCCATAAAATAAACAGGATGTCTAATCATTTGCGTAATATAAGCCCTATCCCGAAAATAAGACCTATTGATGGGCGTGGCTACGCAGTGTATCTGCACAACCCATGCATTTCCTCATGGAGCGATAAAGAAGACGAGCAGCCCTCCTCATCTGCCCCATGAGAGGTCTATTGCTTGACATGAGAGATTGGGGCCAATGGTTCTAAAGGAAATAGAGTCACAAGAAATTCAGGATGGAATTCGGGGTTTGGAGAGTTATGATGATGTTCCAGAAGAAGACGACTTAACTATATTTGAACAAATGTGGATTGTTGTACTGTACTTAAAAAAAAAATAACACATCCCCTGAAAATAAGCCCTAGAGTGTCTTCTTGAGGAAAAATAAATATAAGATCCTGTCTTATTTTTCGGGAAACATGGTATATTAAGGACAGGGTTATTGAGAATAAGGACCATATCTTATTCTGATATCTCCAACTTTATTGATCTCAATGCTAAACACAAAGCAAGGCTTCAATAAATGCCTGATTGACAATTAAAGAATTTATTCTAACCAAGTGATCTAGAAACTGTGCAGGCATTAAATTTAATCCTTTAAATAACTGTGTAAGATAGTTACTTTTACAAGTAAAGAGGGAAAAAAGCCCTCTTAGAGAGTATTAAACAACTTCTCAAACAACTTGGTTACAAAGCTAGAAATTGAGCCACAGTTTTCCTAATGCCAAAATCTAGCATTTGTCTATGGAATAAAAAAATCCCTTTGTAAAAGACAGAATATTATCATTCTCTTCACTCAGAAAGTAACTCCAAGGAGAATTACTTTTAAAAAGTCTGGGCCAGGTGTGGTGGCTCTCGCCTGTAATCCTAGCACTCTGGGAGGCCGAGGTGGGTGGATCGTTTGAGCTCAGGAGTTCAAGACCAGCAAGAGCAAGAACCTGTCTTTACTAAAAATAGAAAGAAATTAGTTGGACAACTAAAAATATATAGAAACAAATTAGCCAGGCATGGTGGCGCATGCCTATAGCCCCAACTACGGGGAGGCTGAGGCAGAAGGATTGCTTGAGCCCAGGAGTTTGAGGTTGCTGTGAGCTAGGCTGATGCCACAGCACTCACTCTAGCCTGGGCAACAGAGACAGAGTGAAAAAAAAAAAAAAAAAAAAAGTCTGATCAGCTCACAGTTTGTTTTGAAACAGGTCTTATTCACCAGAGATTTTAATTATTGGAATCCCCAAAAGAATATGTTGAGATTTCTTAGTATATCACTTTCCAAGGGTAAGTGGAGGTAGAGGGGGGAGGGGGCGTGTGAAATCTACACAATTATTTTTAATATCATAAGGCTTTAGATGGCTAGCTCTGCTTTTAGTATTAACCAATATGATTTTTACCAATGTGATTTTCATATCTAACTGTTGGATTACTTGTAACATCAGTTATGTTGATATTTGGTTGATAAAAAGTTTACTTGGATTTTGTTTCCTGTCAGAAAATAGTTTCAATATTTTTGTAAACATTCCCCATGAGGCCTCAACTTACTCCTATGAAGTTGAAGTGACAGTATTATTTTTGTTTGGAGAAACAGAGATGAAAATGAAAATAATTCTTCACACTTTGGAGTTAGTGCTCGGCCTGTAAAATGATTATTAACAATCCTAGGAGGAACTGGGTTTTGATCTAGGCCTATTTTTTTTTTTTTTTGAGACAGTCTCGCTCTGTCATCCAGGGTAGAATGCAGTGGCATCATCATAGCTAACTGCAATCTGAGATTCCTGGGCTCAAACGATCCTCCTGCCTCCGCCTTCCAGAATGCTAGGACTACAGGCATGAGCCACCTCACCAGGCCAGGGCTCATTTTAAAATATGTCATGTTGGGCAAATCTTTTCAGTTCTGGATATCTCAATTCACACAGCCATGAAAATAAAGTGCTAAGATCTAATTCACCCTTCCTAACTAGGGACTGCAAATACCACGTACTTTTGAGAGCTTTCAAATGTAAAGTGATTTTTTTTTCTCATCAACAAAACATAATCTCTTTTTAAAAGATGATTTCAATAAAAAATGCACTCTTTGATAAATCAGACTTTTGCAACTTGCCATATTAGTTTACTTGAAGGCCTTGCCATCATAGTTTATTATCTGTTATTATGCAACCTCCTTAAAAAGGTTAAAATAGGAAGTTCTTCAAGCAACAAAAATAATGGTCTATTCTTGTGATGTTGGGGCAGGGAGCAAAAAAAACGACTCTCTAAATCTCTTATTTTCCAAAGTGAGAAACAAAGGAGGGCAGCACTAAATTTTAAGGTATTTGACAGTTTTAAAGTATGTGCCGTGTTCCAAGAGAGTTTAAATTCTTTGCACTTCACAAGCCAAGACAGGAGAAAAGGCAGACCGGGTTTTGAGAGCTGAGCAGCTAAGAGGTGGGAAACAAAGAGAAAAAGCGCAGGGCAGGAGTTTGGAAATACTGCATTCTGTGCAGTACACATGTCCTTTACGGGGTGTGGGCTACTGGTGATGTCAGGAGGTGTCAAAGGGAAAAAGCGGGTTCAACTGGAAAGCCATTCTCCACCGAGTGACATTCTTCTCTCCCCAGCAGCCAGCGCCTGGGGTCCCGGGGTCCTGGGGTCCTGGGGTCCTGGGGTCCTGGGGTCCCGGGGTCCCGGGGTCCCGGGGTCCCGGGGTCCTGGGGTCCTGGGTCCCGGGGTCCCGGGGTCCCGGGGTCCCGGGGTCCTGGGGTCCTGGGGTCCCAGACAAAGGGCGGGGGCGGTGCGGACCGCGCGTGTGGCCCCGGGAGGGCGCCTGCGATGGGGCGCAGTCCCTACCTTGCGCGTCGGGCTTCATCAGCAGCGCGTGTCCCACCAAGGGGTAGGCGCGGGCCACCGTGGGGATGGGCCTCATCTGCTGCCATTTCCGCGCGTAGCTCGCCACCACCCGCAGGAGGCTCAGGAGGAGGGAGGCGCCGGCCAGGGAGACGGCGCTCGCCGCGCCCCAGAGCAGCAGCCTCTGCCCGACCAGCCACAGCCAGAGCCCCACCATGTCGCCGGCGGCTCCCTGCGCAAGGCCCGCGGGCCCGGGCGGGTGGGGTCGCGCGTCCGCGCCGGCGGGGTGGGCGGGGAGAGGCGGCGCCGCCCGCGAGCCGAAAGCGAAACCCCGGAGAGCCGCGCGGGGCCCTGCCGGGGTTCCGAGGGCGCGCGAGGCGCCCAGACTGCGATGCGGGGCAGGGACGGGCACCTCAGGATGGAGAGGACACTGGAACTGGTCACTGGCACTTCCGCGGGCGCCCCGGGCTCCCCGCGCTTGGGTTCTGGGAGCCCCTGCTGGGGGAGGGGCAGAGCGGGCGGGGGTGGCGACTTTGGCCGCGCGAACTTGGCTGAAATGGAGAGGTTCGGTTTGACGTTGGGCTCTGGAGCTCCAGCCTCGCACGTGTTGCTCAAGCCGCGGGCGCGGCGGGACTCCGCCCGGACTGGCTGCCCGCCGGGAGGTGGGTCGTCCTGCCTCCTGCATCAGGGCATCAGGGGCGTTTAGAGCAGCTGGAGACTTTGACCTAGGGTGGCCCAGGAACACAACCTTAAACCACCTGTCAGTTTGTGCCAGCTCACGGACACACTGGAGAGCTAAGTGAGGTTGTTAGGATCCAGATATTTTCCCAAAATACCTTCCAGACCAAGGGAAGCCAGAGACTAAGAGAAGGAGAAGGGGCGGGCAGGAGAGGACGGGGGAGGGGGAGGGTTTCAGAAAGGGGGGGCCGTGGCTGCTGGAGAGGAGCGTTTGAGGAGCAGACTGCAGTTGCGGAGCCGCGGGCGAGGACAGAGAGAAGGATGCTCAGATTCTGCCGGCCACTGTGTTCACTGACGACCAGTTTCGCTCCCCCACGCAGAGGTGCCCCAAACCTGCCTCGGATTCCGTTTTCTGCACTTGACACTTGCTACAAAGGCTAGGAGTGTTCCTCTCCTAACCACCAGGTGTCGAGGAAGATGCACTAGTAAGCGCCCTGGGGCCCTATTTTGCTCAATTAGATTAGTTGCTGGCAGCAGCTGTATAGGTTGCCCACAGCCCTTGCAGGGCCGCGTTGATGGAGAGAAAAACATGCCTGAGGTTTTTCCCCAGTTGAATTTTTTTTTAAGTCATGCATATGTGCTGACATGGAAAGAGGGTTATAAATTATTAAGTGGAAACAAATAAAACCCAAAACAAGTTGCAGAACAGATGAGATGCCATCTTTGGGACACAGGGTTTCCCATTAGCGACACTAATGTCTGAAAATTCCTGATCAACTCTATGGAATGGGGAAGGGGAACGTTCACTTTTTATTTTATTCACTTCTATATTGTTTAATCACTTTAAGACTGATTTTTAAAATAAATGTATTTATTTAATATTTTTAAGTATGTCTCATGGGCTTTAGTTTCCTCCTCTATAAAGGGTTGAGGCTGAACTATGAAATCAATTACAGCTATAAAAGTACAAGATTTGTCTTTATCAGACTCTGCTAATCTCTGTCGACAAAACAAGGACTATAACCTACAGCCTCTCCCCTCAAGACTTTAAGGAGGAGGATTGCTGTAGGCAGCACGAGTAACAGCTGGGGCAAAGAAACAGGCTGGGGCAAGAAACAGGCCGGAGCAGGGAAGGGTAGAATAAAATTAAAGTCTTGTCTCTTTGTTCTTTTAGTCATCTTTCCCATGCCCCCCTTGTCACCAAACTGCCTTAGCATATGGAAATTTCAGATTAAACCAGTCAGATGGCTGGGAGTAGACATGACAATGCCCTTGACATGACAATGACTGTCTCGCAGGACAGTCTCAGGATAACACAGAACACAGTGTTGCACTTTAGAATGTTCACCATGAGATGTAGTGGTGCTTTTTTTGTAGCAAATGACTGCACTGGCAGTGTGATGGCATACAACATTTGTAACCCCTGCAGATTTTCAGTTACATGAAGCTATTCTCACTGAGTAGGAAGTCGTCTCCTTTCGCTCCCAAAGACAGCTTCTATAACAAAAGATACCCTTCCCCCTTGGAAGATCTCTCTTTGGTCAAGATCTTTGTTTGATACTCTCTCACACTTGAAATCGGTGCTTTTGAAAGTGAAATTCATGGGCAAGCATATGTTATAATACTTTTATTTCTTAAATTTTCTGTCACTTGGAATGATTCCCAACATAAAAAAGATATTTATTTAATTTAGATTATAAAAATAAATCCCTGTCTGGATAGAGAACTACATTATCTGTATATACATCAAATCATAAAGGGTAGCAGGAAAATTTGTCAAGTTTTGAATCACAGATACAAATATTAAACAAGGTGTGCAATACTTAAATGTGCAGTTTTATGTACAAACATCACCTCATCCATGTAATCACCACCCAGATTATACAGTAGAACATGGAATCCTATAGTATGTACTCTCTTTTATCTGGCATCTTAAACTCAACATTCTATCTGTGAGATGAATCTGTATTGCTGTGTATAGTAGTTTCCCTTATTTTTCACAGCTGTATGTTATTTCATTGTTTGAATATATCAAAATTTATTGTTCACTTTACAGTGTTTCAGTTGCTTCCATTTTTTCCATGTTATGAATAATTTTGTATGATCACTCTTATAGATGTCTTTTAATACACATATGTGCATTTATCTACTGAATGTATGCCCAGGAGTGGAATTGCTAGGTCATATGGAATACATACATTTAGCCTTATTAATAATTACTGTCAGTTTTCCAAAGTTGTATCAATTTACATACTCGTCAGCAGTCCGTAATAGTTCCAGCTGCTACAGATACTTGCCAACTTTTGGTATTGCATTTTTTTTTTTTTTGGTAAATCCATTCAGTTAGGTCTTGTAATATTATCATATTGAGACTTTAATATGCATTTTCCTAATGATTTATGATGCTGACCATCTTTTCAAAAGACTATTGGCAATTTTGAAAAGTGTCTGTTAAATCATTTGCCCATGTTTAGCATTGGAATTATCTGGGTTTTTTAAAGTGATTTTTAGGAGTATGTGTATATATGTATGTATGTGTATATATGTATGTAACCAATAACAATTGTTATTTAATAAATTATATATATATGAATACATTGTCCTTTGCCAGATATATATCGTGAATTTCTTCTTCTTTATAGTTTGCCTTACTACTCTCTTATTGTTAATCATAATCCATTTTGTGCAGCTAGAATGGAATACCACAGACTGCGTAATATGTAAACAAGTTTATCTGGCTTACAGCCCTAGTGGCTGGGAAGTACGAAATTGAAGGGCTGCAGCTGGTGAGGGCCTTCAGCTGCGCCATCCCGTGGCAGAAGGCGGAAGGGCGCAAGAGCAAGGGTCCCGACTCATCCTGCGACCAGGAACCCACACCCGTGATAATGGCATTAATCCACTGTGAGGGCAGAGCCCTTATGACCTAATCACCTCTTCAGGGTCCCAACTGGGCGCTATTGCATTAGAGATTAACCTTCCAACACATGAACTTTGGGGGACACATTCAAACCATAGCAGATGTCTTTGAATAAATAAAATGCTTTTAAATTTTAATGAAGTCAAATTTCTGGATCCTTATTGTTATAGTTGATGTTCTCTGTGTCTTATTTAGAAAATCTTTGCCTACCACAAGGGAAAAAAGATAATCTCTTATGTTAATTTCTAGGATTCATAGTTTTACCTTTCATATTTAGATCCAAGAATCATCTGTAATGCATTTATGTATGTGTGGTAGTGAGATAGACTTCAATGTCTATTTTTATAAAAATATGAATATCCAATTGATTCAATAGTTATTTAATGAAAAGGCCATCCTTTAATCAATGCATTGCAAAGGCACCTTGTCGCAAATCAGGTGACTGGACACACAGATATGGTCTATTCTGTTCTATTGCTCTGTTTGTGATTCTCTGTGCCAATAGCAGACTATTTTAATTAATGTAATTGTATAAATCTTGATATTTCTTGGCATCAGTTATCTAACTTGTTTTCTAAATTTGTCAAAATTATCTTGTTAATTTGAGCTCTTTGTATTTCCATATAAATTTTAGAATAATATTAATACACACAAATTCCCTGATGTGATTTTGATTGTGATTGAATTAAATACAAAAATCATTACACATTGTATACTTGTATCAAAATATCACATGTACCCCATAAATATGTATTATGTATCCATAAAAACTAAAAATTAAAAAAATCAGTTTGAAGAGAATTGACACCTTTATAATACCTGTACTAAGTCTTTCAATCCATGATCATCACATGATATACCACTTTGTTTGGATCTTCTTTAATTTCTCCAAGAAATGTTTAGTAGCTTTCTTTGAGGAGGTCTTACCCATTGTAATGGCTAATTTTATGTCATCTTGGTTATGAGGCCCAGTTGTTTGGTCAAACACCAGGCTAGATGTTGCTGTATTTTTTAGATATCATTAACATTTAAATCAGTAGATTTAGAGTAAAGTGAATTGCCCTCCATAATGTGGGTGGGCCTTGTCCAACCAGTTGAAGGCCTCAAGAATAGAGGTTTCCTGAGGAAGAAATCATTTGGCTTCAAGACTGCAACTCAGAAACCCTACCAGAGTTTCCAGCCTACCTGCCTTGTCTTGTGGATTTCAGACTCAATGCTGTAACATCAATTCTTACCTGAATTTCCAGCTTGCTGTACAGATTTCAGACTTGCTAGCCCCCTTTCTCTTTAAAAGAAATCTCTTGTTCTATTTCCCCCTCCTTCTCCATATGTGTGTGTGTGTGTGTGTGTGTGTGTTTGTGTATCCACTATTAATTCTGTTTCTCTGGAGAACTCTAATATAACCATTTCATTAAATTTATTCCTAGATATTTGATTTTTTGAGGTTATTATGAATTGTATTTTTATAAATTTTATTATTTAATTGTTAGTATAGAGAAATGCAATTGACTTTTTATATTGACCTTGTTTTCAATGATATCAATAAAATCACACAGTATTTTTTAAGTATATGTGTAGATTATTTTGAAATTTCTATATACGCCATCATGATTTCTGTGAAAAATGATTTTTTTCTTTTTTATCCATTATTAAGACTCTTTAATAATATAATCTTGTCCTGTTGGGCTGGCAAGGATATTCTGTATAATGATGAATAACATTGGTGGTAGCTGACACTTTTTGTAATTTTGTAATTGTTTCTAACCTTAGAAAATTTGAAATAAAATCAGAATAAAATAACCATTAAGTATGAAGTTTGCTATAGGTTTTTCTTCCTAATTACCCATTATCAGATAAGAGTTGTTCTCTTATCTTTCCAGTTTACTAGGAATTTCTTTTTATGAATGGGTATTTTTTCAAAGATTTTTTTCCTTCATCTACTGAGATAATTGTATGGTCATTTCCTTTACATCATTTGTTGCATTGGTTAATTTTCATGTGGTAAACCAAGCTTGCATTTCTGAAATAAATTTAATTTGGATGGTATGTGTTATCCATTTCATATATTACTGATTCGTCTATGTTCAAGGATGATGGTGATCTATAGTTTATTTTTTCTTGATTCCCAGTTACTTTATTGTAATCCCCCCCTTTTTTTTTTGTAATGACTTTATTAGGTTTTGTATCAAGGTTATGGTAGACATACAAAATGACTATTATCTTGAAGAACTCTTTTATATTGCTGTTGTTGGTACAACTTTTTCCTTAAATATTTGGAAGCATTAACCAGTGAAGTCATCAGGACTTGGAGTTCTCCTTGTGGGGATGCTTTTAATAATAGGTTTAAGTCTTATAATAGATATAACTCTTTTCAATTTTTCTATTTCTGCTTTGGTAATAAATGAATTTTTTCTAAAAGTTTTAACATTTCATCTAAATTATCAAATCAAGTTATTCATAGTATACTGATTATCCTTTTTAGTTGTTTTTTTTTTTTTTTTGAGATAAAGTCTCACACAAGGTTCATTCCTCTTGTAGCATGTGTCAGAATTTCATTTCTTTTTAAGGCTGACTAATATTCCATTGTATTTATATACCACATTTGTTTATCCATTCATTTGTTGTTGGACGTTTGGGTTGTTTCCACCTTTGGCTATTGTCAGTAACGTTGCTATGAACGTTGGTGTACAATCCCACAAGTTTTGATGTGATGTATTTTCATCATAATCATAATTAAAATATTTTATAATCTCTATTGTGATATTTTTTCTTGAACTCAAAGATGGCTTAGAACTGTCTTGCTTGGTTTTCATATATTTGTGGATTTTATGTTTATCTTTTTGTTGCTTATTTCTAGTTTAATTCAACCTAGTCAGAGAACATACTGAATGATTGCAGCCCTTGGAAATGTGGTAAGACTTGGTTCACGTTTCAACGTATGGTCTATTTCTATAAATATTCCATGTGTACTTGAAAAGATTGTGTCTACTGCAGTTTTTAGATACAGCATTCCACATGTGTCAGTTACATCTAGTGTGACACTTGTATTGTTTATAATGTGTCTGCTTGTTCTGTCATTAACTATGAAAAATCTGTTAGTGTCATGGAGCTGTGGCCATCCACAAGAGGCATGGATATGGTGATCATTCTCGTTTCCACCCTCTAACATGTTTCATTGTATAGAAAAGGAAGTCAACAAAAGGGGAATTATCAACATGAAAGCAAGGCTCTAGGGTCATGTTTGTTTTGTCACTCTGTGATAACGAAAACCACTAATTCTAGTCTCAACACACAGACGTCTATACGCAATGGTCCCCTCTCCTGACAAGCAGAAATATGTCTGAAAATAACTTATTATACATTCATATTATATATATGTGTGTATATGTAGATAACAATTATATATCTAAGTTTATATATATAAAGCTTCGTTTTGCATTAATAAAATTAGACTGATCACATATAATCATCTCATAGAAAAGACATTATGGTGATTTGTGATCTGAGAATATCAAAAATGAGTCTAAGGACTTAAATCATTACAAAGGAAAACAGTGGAGGGAGGGACACAAGAAACATAAACCGAGAGCCCTGCTCTGTTTGCTGACCATGTCAGATGGGGATAGATGCTCTGAAGAAAAGCAAAGCAGGGCAGTGGACAGAGCGGGAGGGGAGGGCGGGCCCTGGGAAGGCTTCACTGCAGAGGTGACATCTGAGGCTGCAAAGCCCCCTCCAGCACAGGACCACGTCAAAGCCAATGATAAAGACGACGTCATACGCAATAGATGTTAATTATGTTTATGCTCAGCTCTAAAAACCAGTAAGTGTGGAGTACTTTTGCATGGGCTGCCTGAGTTTAAAAATGAAAACCATAATAGTAAAAGAAAATTGGCTTGGGAGAATTAGCCACCGACATTTCTCAAAGAGGTTCATGACAAAAGCACTTTTAAAAAAAGGTATGAGAAAGTCAGCATAATGATCAGAACAATCCGAATCTTGCTCAGTCTGATGTATTGTCTCAAATATAAGTTTATTGTTTTTAAAGAATGGAGTAACATCTATTAGTGAATAGGATTTTGATGGAATTACTAATAGAATGAGATTAAAAAGTAGGTCAAGGTACAAATGGCATATTCATAGATAATATGCTCTTATATGTTAACTAGTATGTGAATACAGGCACACACTATTATGTTTGTGTATCACTGATAAAATGATGAGTCATAAATACATGTTAAGGTCTTCTGAGCAAAGCTCTAACATTCTTTAGAACCTTGGGAATGCTTCCAGTAAACAAGTGCAGTGAGTTTTCATGTCATTCTCTTTACAAGGCAAAGTGTTCAAAATCAAGTAATTTATTTGCTCATATTTCCCTCAGTCTAACACCTCCACTGCCAGACAAACAGATAAATAGAATAATACTTGTTCACCCATTTTTCAAGTGATAAATAGTGTTCTGAGGCTTTGAATGCTCCAGTAAGTGCTGTAGTTCTGGTGAAGTAATTTCAAGATGCCACTTGGAATCTCTTCCTTGAAGCCAAAGTTGTCCTCTGAAAAGATTTAGGCAGATATTGTGAACCTGAAACATCAACCGAAAAGTGATTTTTAGTAAAACCTTACAAATTCAACAACCTCTTGAAAGGACTGTTTTATATCTTCCATGAAGATACTTTTAATTAAAAAGAAATATTTTATTTTAATGTCACTTTTGCATGAGACAGAAAATAGTTGTATGCAAAAACTGTCATTTGGAGTCCTGAGCAAAAGGAAGGGTGGCCCTCCCCAAATCAAGCCTAGGTGCTGGCCGTGAGTTCTCCCAGAGGTGGGGGGTTTGCCAGAAACTTCTATGCAGAGCTCAGTCCTTAAGGCCCAGGACACTGGGTCATGAGCTCTGGCAACTCTACTACTTCCTGGAGGCAGAGGTAACGCCAGTGATTTAAGAGATCTTTCCCACTATGGGGTACCCTCTCAGTTTTTTCATTTTTTTATTTTCTACCACAGAACAAATGAAAAGTTGGTAAGTTAATAGCTCCCAGTAAGGTTATTTCCGACCTTGAAGCAAAGGTAACACGGAGGTCATGTGCCTGCTTATCAGAGAAAAACAAAATAAATCCTCAGAAATATAGGAACATCTCCCTTATAGAGCCTTGGTTACGTCTACGGAAATACAAAAGGCCTCTGCCCAGCAGTGATAATAGCTGTCTCAAAGTTACTGATAAGAGAACACATGCTGACTTAAAATTTAGGGAAAGATTGCATGCAGATTTAGAACAAATTCAGAACCTGGTTCGCTGCTCCAACCTGTACCTAGCTCTGCATGCCCAAACTACTAATTAGACATCTCCAAAACTGAGCCCGTCAAAATTCCTCAAGTTCCCTCTTTGAGCATCACCAACTACCGGCCATCCACGGAGTCACATCTATCAGGCCTCCACTTCCTTCTCACTCACGGCCCACCTGAGGGTCACCTCCTTCAGGAGGCCTCTGACCTCTTTACCCTCCTGCATGGTGAGCTAGGTGGTTCTTGAGGCACACACCAAAACATTGGTTCTGAATCCCAGCCTTTAACACTAAACTTGGCTCACTCTCAGAATGAGCACTTGACACATCATTATTGATTAATAATAAACTTGGCTGCCTACTTTCCCCTAACCTTTACAGCTATGGTAAAAGCAACACCTCATCATGTAGCAGGACTGCCTTTTAGAGGAAGAACTGCTGTGATGAGAATGACAGGTCAGTCAGTGTTACACAATGCTTACGTTCTACTAAACTTAGTTTTAGAATTATGATATGTTCAAAATTTCCCTTAAAATAAACTGTCCTTGACATTTCCGATTATCTATAATACAAATGGTTCATAATTTCTGAGCAATGTATGCCTGGCATCTAGCTGGGTTCTTTACATAGATTTCTAATAATTATTTTATCTACCCTGCCTGTTATAAAACAAAAAAAAAAATGGAGGCCCAGAGAGGTTGGGACATTCCTTAGGTTGCACAGCTAGTAGGTGGCAGAGCTGTGATAAAAACTTGACATCAGATTCCAAAGTAGCACACCTCATGTTGATGCTATTCTGCCTCCCTCAAAAAAAAAAAAAAAAAAGTTGGTAACAGTTTTGAAAGTTAAAACATCACTGGCCTGGATTCGAACTAGAACTTTATTCTTCAAATAATATACTAGGCTGAGAATATGTATTCATCTGTAAAACTCTATGTTATAAAATAATTGGCAAATTTGTATTAACTTTCTCTAGCATTTTTATTATCAGATCTTTAAAGAGAATCTAAGATTAGGGTTTCATTTAGAAGAAAAGCATGAAAACTCTATAGCAGAGGGAGATGGTGACTTCTCCTAAGACAACACTTTCCTGTTTTTATTTTTTATTTTTTTGAGAGTGAGGGCCCCAGTTAATTAAGAGCATCTTAGACATTTCACCCTTCCTGATCCAGCAGCAGGTTAGTGCCTGTCTGTGCAGGTCTGCTCTTTGATAGAAGTTTCTGAGGTCAGGACATAGACCAACGAACAGTTGCTATCTCCTCCTACACGGTCAAAATAAGCTTATCAAGGTAGATAATCTTCCATTTCACTTTTTGAAACTTGAAATCTCACGTGTTACATCATTTTATTTATGTGTGAACAAAAGCTGACCTGGCAAAATACTTTGACCTGTCCCTGTGTGACCAGCAAATTCCACTGGCGTCAATGAGCCTTTTCGAGGTGTAGCTGACTGTTGGGAGGAAAACAAAACGAGGAGTGAGTTTTATTTTTTTAGAATATTTTTAAAAAATCAAAGTTACGGTTAACAGAGAACCTACCTGGAACGTGTGGGTCGTGTTGGGCCTTGAAAGCTGTTCCAGGGTTACAGTTCTTTCTCGAAGAGGTGACAGTTCTATACTGCTAGGCATTGCACTGAACACACGGCTTGGTGGATGCCTTCCTCTGCACTAAATGAAGGACAATACGTTCTTGTTTAAAATAAATGCAATCCTTAAAAAGACAAAAGAAAACCTACATCTCCCTCAATCATTCACTCGTTTGAAAATTGTTATTTAGATATTGCTACGTATCAGGTCTACTAAGCATAAACATCTGTTGAAATATATTTTAATTATGTAACAGCATTGTTAAACCCAATAAAATGGTAGTGTCCTAATAGGTAAATATGGATCAAGAACCATAAGCATATACGATTATTAATATTAAATTGTAATAGAAACATAATTCTGCATTTGTGAAGCATCAGACTTTTTAATGTGATGTTTGCCTTCTTTTATTATTTCATTCTAAGGTTAAACACTAAAGCTCTGCAACTCTTGTCTTCTAGAAATGGGTTTCATTGCTATGCTCAAGGTGGAACAAACCTCAGTGGGTTTTTTTCTCTCTACACCTTTATGTTCCCACAACTGGGGTCCTTCTGTGTTTTGTAAAATAGAGATAAGTTACTCACATCAGAGTGAAATGAGGGGTCATTGTAATCTGGGGGCAACCTGGTTATATACACTGCTAGCAGCATACCTTCCCCAAACCTTTTGCAATTGCAGGCTGAATTGAGCACAGAAGTTATCACCTCTATATTGCAATAAACATGGCAAGGTTAGCTGTAAAAATGAGGTCTGATAAAAATGACTAGGGTAATAATTTACTAAGCTCTTAATTTCATGCCAGGCATTACTTAACATATAAGAGTTCACTTAATCCTTACACAAATTTTTTGGGGGTAGGAATCATTATTCCCCTTTTATAGGGGAGCTTCCCTAAGGCTCAGAGAGATTACAGTGACTTGTACCAAATCATATAGAAAATTTTAGCAGGACCCAAATACGGACCTCCCTGTCTCCCGACCTGACCTAACCTCATGCTCTTTTCTTTGCTATACCATCCTATCAGATATTTCTTTGATACCTGGACTTTCTGATTAAGTTCATGTCATGTTTTTATTTCACAAAATGGTGAAGGAACCCTTTCACTCTCCATAAATTCTCACAAGCCACTTACTTTCTGCAAGCAGATTATGGAGACATTTTGAAGATAGCCAATCAGATCATTCTCATATGTTATTGATTTCGCTTGGAAGTGCCAAGATTATTTTTGCTCCTTTGTTTTCCAACAGACTATCTAAGTGGTGCACTTAAGTATCATGGAATGTGTCTTACAGAAACAGGGCGGGATCCAGGAACTGCTGTGTTCTGCTCCCCGGTGTCTGAGCCTATCGGGGGTAACCTGCCGCGTGAGGTTTGAGCTGGTGGGCAAGACGTGTGTTCTATGCCAGTTTGCCTGTAAACACAACAACATGTCACTGAACACCCAGATGCACAGAGAGGGGGACAGATCCTACCAAGAAGCTCCCAATCTGAGCTATTCCTCACAATCCGCCTTCCAAAAAGAACACTCCAGTACAACAAGCTAAGTTTCAGGAAGACAAACCAGCAGTGGGGCCACAGCTCCAGCCCTGCTTTCCTTGTCTGGCAGCAACTGGCAGCCTGGGTGGGCTGAGTGCTCAGCTCTGCTAGGAACTGTGCAGAGCTCAGAAAGAATCAATGATCTATTTAATAGCTCCTCCTCTTAGGAGCTCACAAGTTGTTGAAAAAAAGATGAAAATTCAAGTAATTAGGGAACGAGGCAGCACAGCATATAATAAAGGGCTGTGACATATGATTCTGAATATAAGTACTGTAAAAATTCAGGGAATAGAGCAATTAATGAAGGATACGATTAATTATAAATGTACAGGTCCTGGATCAGGAAAACTACAAAAAAATCCTAAAAAGGAGATATGAAAATAGAGGCAAAAAAATGTTCTTTAACGGGAAAACTAAATATTGTGAAGATATCAGTTTTTCCTACATTTTTAATAGATTCAGTTCTACGAAGTCCAATGTGATACTTTTTTTGTTAATTTGACAAACTGATTGTAAAGTTGATCTGTCAGGAAGGGTGAGTAAATTTTAATAAGTGAGGAATAATGATAGGAGACTATCCCTACCAGATATTAATCTTTAAAAATTAAGTTGGTTCTTACACAAGAATAGAGACAGACTCTAATTCATTTATTCATTGATGATAAAGTTATGAAAGATGTAATATGATAATTTTTGACCCATAAAACTGTCAAGCTTTAAAATATACATAGTGGCCAAAGTTTAGTGGCTACAGGGAAAGAGACAGTCTCAGGTATTGCCAGTGGGACTCCAAATTGGTACAACCATTCTGGGAAGCACTCTAGAAAAATATTTTAAGAACCTTAAAACTATCTGTAACCTTTGACCTGGTAAGTTTACTTCTAGGATTCCACCACTAGGAAACAATTTAAAGATGTCCTTATGAAGATTTATATAAAATGATGTTCACTGAACATTACAATGAAAATACAGAAAAAAAAACTAAAAAGTTTCAGTAATACAGAAAAACTTAATAAATTATCATATACCCACAACTTTTTTTTTTTTTTTTTTGAGACAGAGTCTTGCTGTGGGCTAGAGAGCAGTGATGTCATCATAACTTAACTGCAGCCTTGAACTCCAGGGCTCAAATATCCCCCTGCCTGAGCCTTCCGAGTAGCTGGAACTACACCACACTCAGCTAATTTTTTCTACTTTTTTGGTAGAGATGGGGTCTCGCTCTTGCTCAGGCTGGTCTCCAATTCCTGAGCTCAAGGGATCCTCTCACCTCAGCCTCCCAGAATGCTAGGATTACAGGTGTGAGCCACCGCGCCCAGCCTCACATGATTATTTTGTAGTCATTAACAGTATTTGATAACATGAAAAAAAGGAATGATATAACATGAAGTGAAAAAAGCATATGAAAGAGTTCTACATGATACAATAGTAGGATAAACCTAGTGTTAGAAAAAATGACAATGGAAAGAAAAGAAAAAATATAATCCTGGATAAAATCAATAGGAAATTTACCAACAGCTGTCATTTCTTCATTTGTAAGTGATGGGCATACAGGGAATCTTTGATTTCTCCTCCTATTTGTGGTATTGTCCTGATGTTCCATGGTGTACTTATAGCATTTTGATAACTAAGGGAAAAATGTTGTTTCAATAAAAGTGAAACCCAAAGCATGAACAAAATCATGGAAATAAGGAGACACATAGTGGGTGTGTTCATGGGTCAGAGGGAAGATAAGGCATCCTCAATGCAGAGAAGCCGTGGGAAATAGGTGTGCACAATAAAAGAGGGTGGTCATATCCTCCTCAATGGGGCAAACGTTGGTTCCTCCGGGGGGAAAAAGCCTTACTCTTCTGTATAAAGCACAGTTATACACACAGATAAACAGTCTATCTGTGGCAGTAAGATTCCATGGGTGGGGAGCAATGAGGAAAAATACTCTAAAAGGGCTTGTTAGTATGGCAATAATGAAAAAAGAAAAAGCTGAAAAACACTGGTCTACAGAGAGCAAGGGCTAGAACCTGAGGGGAACATATAACTGGAGCCATCTACATTTATTTCAATTAGGAAACAGAAATGGTTGTTGATGAAAGTCCAACAGTGGAGCCCAGGTGGGGAGGGAGGAAGAGGAGAGAGCTGGTGACCTGGGCCCAGGGCCAAGAAGGTGTGCAAGGTGGATAAGAGAGAGGGATCCCCAAAGAACTAACAGAAGAGACCCAAATACAGCTGAAAATACCAGTCCCAAATGGTGAAAGAAACACAGAAGGCTGAGGGTGGTGCTAGAATGCATCTTGAAAAAGTTCTGTCATCAGGTAAGTGTTGGCAGCTACTCACTCCTCCAACTCCTGCAGGGTGACCCGAGCTCAGCCCCTCCAATAACCCCCACCCTTGCTTTGGACAGTCTATGGCACGGTGGCCCAGCGGTGGCCTCCAAAGCCAGACAGCACCGTATGTATGCCTGGCTCTGCCACTCCCTGGGGGGATTATCTCTGGCAAGTTATTCACCTTCTTTCAGCCTGTGTCTTCATTTTTAGGTTTGGAATAATATGAGTACAGACTCAAAAGGTTTGTGGTGGGGAATAAATAAGATAATAAATATAATTCATTTACCTGGTGCTGCAAAGAGAGAAAGCAACCCATAAACACTAGCTGTTATTATTAACATAAGTATTGCCTGACACTTAAATTAACTGGAAAGCTCCTTTGGAACCCTGAGATCAAGGAAGAGACAAGTATCTTTCTAACTAGGCAATAAATTGATGTGACTCCCTAAGACCAAAAGCTTTTCTGAAACTCCTATGTAGAGTGAAACACACTGTTAAAGATAAGTAAAAACGGACAGGTATGTATGTATGTATATATATCCCTATTATTTTTATAGCATTTTATATACATTATTTTATTTAAACCTCCTCATAAAGAAGCATTAATTATGTAATTTAAAAGCATTAATTAATTCTTGGTTTTACAGATGAGGCCACTGAAACCCACCCAAGATCACCTCACCGTCAGTTTCATTTCGCCTAGCTGCCTATGCTAGTTACACGGACTGACTTGTGTTCTAGTACACAAAACCACCTGAACAAAATTAATCTTAAATATTTAAAGTAATGAACTCATTAGAGAAGTGTCCACGTAAGATTTGACAGAGGTTGCTCTGTCTGGAATAATTGATATACCCAGTTCGACAAGCGTCTCTGTCCTATGTGACTTCTACACCACGACAGAAACAAGACTTACAGTTTTGTTCCCCTGAGAACTTCATCACTGTACATATTGGGGGTTTTTATTCTCAGCGCATCTGAAGCAAGAGAAGGCAGCCTCCTGTGCACCGGCGTTTTCTTTGCCGAAGTCTGCAGTCCCCGAGTGTCCGAGAGGCGTCCCAGCAGGTGCCTGGCGGAGGAGAGAGTGCTGGCCCCTCCTCCGCCCAGCGCCTTCTCCTCCTGCTGCTCACTCCTGGGGTAGGAAACCAGCGGGTTACTCCAGTGTACGTGCCACGAGAACAGGGAACGCACCGTGTGTGCTTTCCTGGGCACTGTCTAGAGCCGCGCGCGGCACACAGAACATACTCCTAAGTATGTGGAATGAACCCACAGACTATCATTTCCATTTCTATTTCAATGAAGAATCATCCGCAGGGGAAAAAAGACCTAAGTTCTTCATTTTTAGTAATCAAATAGTAAAGATTAAGAATCTCACGGCTACACCCCCCTTTCCTCCTTTCTCCCAACCTAATATACAATAGCAATTGTTTCATGGTCGATATTGGAAGATTCTGTCTGTGTTCTGGCACACTGGTTGCATCACCCCTGCGATGTGCTCCGGCACCTTGGAGCCTGGGATCAAATGGGGTCTTCATTAGCTCATGTCTTTGGTGCTCGACTGTTTCCAACCCAAGGCAAGAGGCTGGGAAATTATCTGTCATACGTACTGTGTTTTGTCTGCAAAATAGGCAGGTCTCTGCTGAAGTGGTTTTGCCTGAATTGTCATCACGCCGTTCAAATCACTATAAAAATTGTTAGAGAAGCGATGAATCTGAGAAAAGTAAAATAAATAAATAAATAAATAAAATAAAATTAAAAGATATCCAGTGCCATTCCAATCCCTGATACTTTTCAGGAATCAGCAGGAAGCAAACGGCACACTCCAACCGGCTAGTACGAGGAAAGGTTAATGAAGGGACTATATGATATAAAGATGTGGGATGATACATTAACGAGGAATTGCTTGTGAGAGTGGGGACACTTAGCACACTAGACCTGATGCAGAAGAAGTGAAGGAGAGGCTCCCGGACCCTGGAGAGAATAGCTGCACAGAGAGGGATGCCACTAACCCGCTGTGGCCGGACTGGCAGCCAGAGGACAGCAGGGTGGGGCCTCACCCTCCTCCCCATCCTCTGAGCTCCCGGGAACAGGAGGCAGGGAGCTGACCTGCTCTATGTGTACCTAACCTCTGGGCCCTCCAGGGTGCGGAAGGCAGAGAGGATGAGGACCAGAGAGGGAAAGGCCGCAGGGCTCCTAGTTCTGTTGCAGAGTCCGAGAGACAGGCTAGGGGAAAACCGGAGCATGAGATCCCAAAGGCTTCCTTCTGAATCCCAGTTCTAATGGCTTCCTGGCTGGCAGCCTTGGACAGATTACTTTGCTCTGAAAGCTTTAGTTCCCTCATCTTTAAGTTGGGGAATAATGATACCTACTTCATATAGCTATGGTAAGAATTAAATTAGACAACATTTGTGAAAGCATGAAGTAAGGGCTAAATAACCATTAATTCACTCTTCTGTTCCACCATATGACCAACAAGGACTTAACATAATATTTAGATTCAGGTGAACAGGATTTATGAGACTAGAATTCTATTCTAGTTCAAGAATAGATGTAGCAACCACAATCATATCTTCTTTATATTGAATATATGGGAATAGAAATTTTAGAGGCATAAATTAAGGCCAATTATAATCACCACTAGAATGCTTTGATTACTTCAAAATAGGCTCTATTTTTATTTTTTCTTTTAACTTTGCTGTCAATTCATTTTCTTTTAACATTTATCCAAATAGAGAAGTTACCAAAACAACAAAATCTGTATTTTAAAAAGGTCCTTACCTTATAAAAGTTCCATATTTCTCAGGCCTATGTATTTTGCCGGATATTTAAAGGTTCTTTTCTATATTGTCAACTGTTCATTTTATGAGATTCATACTGCCTGTTAAGCAGTATGAACTGAACTTGTCAGAGCAGTTTAAAGAGACCAAATAATATAATAAGCAGATAGCAATTCCAAAAAATTCTTTTGAATAGAAAAAGCAACGACTACTTTTTGTAAAGCCCTTACTCTACAGAGTAAAATACGCCTATTACTCTGTTTTATGCACTGCTCCCTGAACCACAGATCCTATTTACGCCTCTGTCCTTTCAGTATAACGAGCATATTCAATTTAGTTGCTCCTGTTCTAGGTGCATATTTTTGCCTCTGCCTTGAATATCCTCCTTTTTCTTCTTCAGCTTAACAAATCATACCCTATCATTTAGGGCTTAGTTCATGGTTTACCCTACTTTGTGAGAGGTATGATATTTTTTCTCCACACCCCACAGCACTTGATCTAAAGCATATCTAATTATAAAATATTATATGAAATATAATGTATAATTAGCATCTGATTATAATAAAAGGTAAACACCTATTCAGTGGCTCCTCTACGCCACACACTGCACTAAATGTTTTATTTCCTTTAATTCTCACAGCTTCTTCCCTCATAGATCCCACAGATTAGGACATTGAAGTTTTGAGAGAAAGGGACTGATTTGAGATCACAGAGTTAATAAATGGTGACATCAGGCTCAAATTGTATGGTCCATACACAAAGCTCAAAATCTCATTTGCTCTAATACAGACTATACTGTCTTTCGAGTGTGTGTGTGTGTGTGTGTGTGTGTGCATGTGCTTGAGTAGTGTTGTTTGGCATAGTTTGACTCTGTCCACCTACATTGTAAATTGTATGTAGCTCAGGCCCAGGAATCCTGCCTCATCCTTTTTCTCTACTCCTCAACACCAGACAGGTTGCAGGAAACCATCTCCTTAGCACCACCAAAGACCTGCCGTGAACAAGTCCGGCCTTTCCAGCCTCACCTGCTACTAGATCTTTGAATACGAGGATGCAAGTCAGGAAAAATGTATTGAGTGCTTAGCATATGCCAGATTCTGTGTCAGGAGATCTCGCATGTTTCTATGATTTTATCCTTATAATCGCTTAGACAACATCGTATTATCTTCATTATACAGATGAGGAAACTAAAGCCTAAAAAAGTTAAATAGCATGTCCAAAATAATACCCCTCATAGGCCTCTTGAGTCCAAATCCCCTGTTCTTGCCACCGTGTCCTGCTGTTCTATTATCCTGTCCCCAAACATGCCCCATTTTTCATCACCGACGACTTTGCTTGGCCTGAAATAGCCCACCCAGAGTTCTCACCCCTAGAAGCCCTACTCATTTCTGCTCAAATTTCACCTCCGATGTAAAAGACCAATCCTCATCTTCTAATCAGAATGAATCATTCTCTCTTCAATTCTCCTACAACATCGCTATTTTTGCACGTCCCTCCCAGAATGTACTACATTTGACCTTGTGTTATAGCTCTTTGTTTCACAAGGTCAGCAACTATGCTTTATTGATCCAATATCTCCTCAAAATACCTTAATTACAAACTCAACAAATGTTGAATGAACCCAATATATACTCACTGATTCTCTTATCACTTTGGCAGAAGAAGAGGAAACTATAACTTTCAAATTGGCTAGAAATGTTAGGGAAAAGCGTTTCTTCCTCTCTCAAAATATGGAAAACAGCTCCACATTTCAATGCACTGTCTGCAAGTCCTTTGCTCCATTAAAGAAGGTGGTGATTCTATTAAATAATCATATTACAGTTTAGTCTTACTGACAAATGATCCAAATACCTTGACACTAGAATTTAATAGAATGGCACTCTTCCCACGCTGAAGTCAGAGACGTAAAGACTGAAGATGAGAGAGAGAAGAGTGTAAAAGCACCTACCTGGGGTGGATTAAGATGGGAAGCCAGAGGTATGTTGCGGGTTTCAGAACTTCTGGACGGGGGGACACTTGATACATCAGCGGGCAAACGGGAAAGGAGCACATGTGGAGATTTGTTTTCAGCTACTTTCAATTTTTCTTTCTGCTTTTTTCCTTCTGTGTCAACAGGAGAATTATGAGAAGAATCAGAAGAATTATAAGAAACACTAGATTATCTAACACAAATACTTAAAATTAACTCTTCAAAAATAGTATTTGTTCTTGAGTTACCAGGATTCCATGCTACGGCCACTGGTAACAGAACATGACTATAGAAAGCAGAGACCCCCACGAGCCATTGGTTGATGGGACTATCCTTTCAGTGGTGTATGTAGGAAAACAGAGATTATAGAATGGGTCAAAGAAGATTCTCAGTGTTTTATAAAAGCCCAACTGATCCCTTTGACTGGAAAAAGAACAGAATTTAAATTAACATGATTATTGCTTTATCATACACATTGATTACTTAAAACTAGCCTTTAATGTCCACAGCTGATATATTCTTTTATATTGTATGTGTATATATATATATATATATATATATATATATTATTTTTTTTAAGGCTAGTCAAGTGGAGCAGTCAGAATGAGAAGGAACAAAGGAATCTGTAACTGGTCATGATCAATTAGTTGTAAACACCACGGTACTCGGACCAACTACAGCTGATATTTCTATGATTTGTTTCTGCTCCATTTTAAGTAGCTTAGAGAACATCTATAAGTTGAAATAAAAATAAAGTGATTATTCAATCGGCTATGCTTACATTTTACTTTATAAATAATGTCATGACCATCTAAAAACAAATATCCCACTATTAGGTAAGTTTGTTTTTTTTTTTCAAACCACAATAAAACGAGTAACTTCTGGCTTCTTTGTTATGTATTTCTGTGTTTTTTTCCGGGTGCATATGCGCTATTTTCATAGCTCAAAAATAATAACATCCTTTTCGAAGAGATTCAAGATCATTTGTGAATAAAGGTAGAAAGCTCACCTTTCTTCTCACCCTAATCATGTTCTAGGTATGGCCAAGCCAGGTGGGAGAGCACAGAGCTGAGGAAGAGGGGTCTTGGTTTTTTTCTTATTAGGCAAAATGCTACAAGTAAGTACCTGTGAGCGTAGTTTCCCAGTTTTTTCTAATCAGCTCTTCCAAAATTTCTACCACATTTTCCCAGACATGATCAAACACTTCTGCTGCCACTGCATCTTTGATACAGTCGTGAGGAGACACAGGAGGGAGTCCGTGTTTCTGCCATTTCTGGCCGTGGTGAGCTGGCTTTTGTTCAAGACACTCATCATCGCTGAGGATAAAAACCCATTCTAATTACTAAAACTTTCAATGGCTAGAGTTAAAATAATCCTATCTATCATGCATGTATATGTGTATGTAAATTTATATATATATTGATAACATTCGTTCTTTTTTAAGTAGCACATTGGTTTTAGGGAGAGTGGCTTTTTTTTTATGAGACAGGATCTCACTCTGTTGCCCTGGGTAGATTGCAGTGGTGTCATCATAGCTCACTGCAACCTCAAACACCAGAGATAGAGCGATCCTCCTGCCTAGTCCTCCTGCCTCAGCCTCCAGAGTAGCTGGGACTACCACAACCGGCTGATCTTTCTGTCTTTTTGTAGAGATTGGGGCTTACGCCCTCAAATAATCCTCCTGCCTCAGCTGGAGCTACCACGCCTGGCTGGTTTATTTTTTAATATATACAATTTCTACTTATCAATTATACCTTAATAAAACTGGGGAGAAAAACAAAACAAACCAAAAATACCCTAACTCCTAGTTTCATTGATCTGTCCTGTGGTTTTTTTTCTCATCTCTATTTCATTTATTTCTGCTCTGATCTTTGTTACTTCCTTTCTTCTACTAACTCTGGGCTTGGTTTGTTCTTCTTTTTCTCCTTCCTTCAGATGCAAACTTAAACATTGTTTATTTGAGATCTTTCTTGTTTCTTACTGTAGGCATTTAATGCTATGAACTCCCCTCTTAGAACTGCTTTTCTGTGTCCCATAGTTTGGGGTCTGGATTATCAAGTTTCCATTTTCATTTGTCTCAAGATTTTTTTATTTCCCTTTTGATTTCTTCTTTGACTTTCTGGTTGTTCAGTATGTTGTTTAATTTATACATATGAGCCAGTTTTCCAGTTTTCTTTCTGTTATTGATTTCTAGTTTCATACTATTGTGGTCAGAAAAGATGCTTGATATGATTTAAATCTCCTTAAATTTGTTAAACTTGTTTCAACAGTGTTATTTTTTAATGTACCAGTTTTTAATCACAAGGCACATTTTTATTATACAATATTTGTATGATATTTGTATTTCCTTAAAAATAAAATATGTATTTAGTGCGGAGACTAGACTTTCCCCTTTATCCTTTTGGGCAGCTACGTACAGAATACCTGGAGCCGCTGACAATGAGGGCCACTAGCAGCCTTGCCTACTTTCACTGCATGCAGGACATAATTCTTGTTTTCTGCCTGTACCATGTCGTCAAGAAGAAAGGGACACACTGCTCTTACATATACATTCCCTGCTAGGAATCTAAAAACTTTGGGGAGTACATTACTTCCAAAAGAATAGAAATCTTTCAGATAAGTAAACAACATACAAAACACTAAATAAGCATATAATAAAAAATAAATTGTCAAATAAATTAATATTATACTATGAAGTCAATGTCAAATAAAATTCTATTTACTCTTCTTTTCTATCAAAAGCAAAATACTCTTCAATCTTTCCATCTGCGTCGTAAACCTCTTCTTCCAGGAATGAACATGCCGTTAGGTCAGAGACTCCTGGGCCATCAAGGTCTGGCAGGGCAGAGGCTGACAGTGTTGCTGGGACTATCTGGGAGCCAGAGATGCACAATCTGTGGGGGAAAAAAACAAAACACATGGGAGTGTGTAGAACATCAAAAATGCAATGCTTGCATAATCATGGCGCATCTTTATATTATCCATAAAGTACAGAATCCCAAATTAAAAAATCATTAAATACTACATTTGACAAAGCTCAATCCTTCAAAACATTTGACCATAGGCATCATTTAAAAATTTTAGGGTCTTCTTCAAAGGCTAATTATACTATGAATTTGTATCATCTTTGGCTACAATGAAAGGATGTCTGAGCACAGTCCCCAATATGTATGAATGGCATAAAGAGACATATCAAAGTCTGTGAGTGAGCAAAAGAAAACAGGATAGTTTTATTTCTTCTGTGGCTACTTCCCGGGAGGCTCAGGATCCATCACAATGTGGCAGTTTTTAATTCTGCCTCCACTTTTCACAGTGCCTTTGGGATGAAAGAAGGTTGACGTTAACTACCTTGTATGTGTGCCAATGTTTATTCCATATATACTTTACATCCATACACACGTATACACATACACACATACATACACGGCTATGCACCTCTCATCCACTTGGAATCAGAAGCATCTTGTGAAAAAAAAGTCTCTGTACCTGCCCTTCACTGAAATCTAAACTTCCAAATTTGGCACAGCCAAGGTTAATGGATGAGATAAACACGAGAAAGTACAACTAACACACAGTTAAACACACTTTCTGGGGAGCCACTTATGGGAACATACTCTCTGACACGGCTGCGATATTCACGGGCGTCAGACAAGGGTTTGCGGCCCGCGGGACCAGGCGTGTGGCCCTGGAAGTGCTGGAACCCTTCCTCGGCTGGTGGCATCAGCTGCCTTCCTAGGACTCTGCAAGGTAAAGAAAAAAAAAAAAAGAAGCTACTAACATTTCTGATTAGACAAGGGAAAAAGGTTTTAAGATTTTAAAGGTAGGACACAATAACAATTTTGAAGGCACCCGTGTGACGTGAGAAGGAAAGTACAGGCACATGGGAAGCATGGCTCTGAGAGAGCTTGAGAGAGCAGCTAGGCTGCTCTGGCCACTGACTGGGTCTTGAGGCCAAGTTCCCAGGCTCCCTAAGCCACCGATTCCGGTTGCTTGTTTTTCATATGCGAGGTAGCGTAATGAGGGTTGCCTGGCAGGGCTGATGAGTGGCTGGGCTACAGCGTGTGCACGTCAGACTCGGGTGCCTCAAGCAACGCTCTCCATAAATGTTCACTAGCATATACACATGAATAACTACAGATAAGTATGTACACTTGGCTTGTGTACCTTACAGTCTTTTGCCACCTTCCCTCCTTCGTTTTTATCTTAACTGTGTGAGGTAACGGTGTCAGGAGTAAGTCTGAGCTCCTGAGTTTCGGTAGGTGCCTCATCCTGGCAAACTGAGCAGCTGCGATTAATATCTAGTGGGCACGGCACACTCTTTAAGGCAGGGGGCTTATGAAGGATGGAAAAGAAAAAAAAACAAAACAGCTACTTAGTCAAGATTTTTTAAAAAGTTATCTAGTCGAGCTAACCAGAAAATCTATCCGAATTTACATGAGTGTTCTAATTTATTGTCCCCAAATATAATCTAGAGGAACTTTCAGGTAACTGGGATAACTTTCTCCTACGTAGACTGGCTGAGTGACTGAAGGAAGAGAAGCTTCTCTTCATACCCAATCTCTAGTCTCCATCACTGACATAAAATGTGATGAATGATCCCCCCACACAAGAAATGGGGTGAGAGGGAAAGATTCATCCATCCAGTTGTTCAGCAAACAATCCCTGCCCACCTGTGTCCCTCGCACTGTTCTCGAGATGAGGGCAGACACGTGCTGCTCAGGTACCACTGAATGTGAAGGTAAAAGATGACTTCTGCCACCCTTGCATTTGCTACATATGTAATGTCTTACTGAGCTACATTTGCTTCTCACAAACTGAAAGGCACTTGAGTATTGGAATGTCTCAGCAGTTCCTCAGACACCAAAGGGAAGGGCGTGATTTCTCAGTACACGACTGCATTCTGGATATGCATTTTGCCCGGGTAAGTGCTTCCAGTCAAATATATGGATTGCCTTTAAACCAAGTCAGGAGTCGGAAGTTAAAAAACCCAGTCCAGAGAATTCTAAGAACAAGATCCCTACCTCAGATGGAGGGACCGTCTTGTCCACTCACGGCATTCATCCTGTAGATTCTGCGTCTGGGGGCTTACTTTCCCTTCAAACAACATTTCCTCGACTTCCCAGAATAACTGCTGCACTTTCTGTGCATTGGCTTTGTCAAATTCCTGAAACAGAAATGCACACTGATCTCGCCATACCTTTACAAATGTTTTTGGTTACAAAAAAAAAAAAAAAAAAAGAAATGCACACTGAGTTGTAACGCTAAACGTCACAGAAACACAGGCTTCGCGATCAATGCTATTTATAAATTTAAAGGGACCCATTATAAAGAATGGGGTGTAACATGGGGAAAAGAATGTGGGCTTTGCAGTCAGACATACCAGTGCTCCAGTTTTTACTTTTCAGATAAAGTATAATGTATCTCATTCTGAGCCTCGGCCTCTGTAATTGTCCAGTAGAGGTAATTTCTACCACGTGAGTTAGAAGATTTTACACAGATACAGTTGAAAGTGTAGATATTCATATTAGCACAGGCATCAATACAGATACACAGACATACACACACCTACATATCTATGCACACACATGCACAGTCATATGTCACACATACAGTTGTGCCTGACACACCCAAGCATATCTGTAAAATACAACCTATTTTTTTCCTGATGATATCACAGAAAGTTACATTTGTACAAAGGGCCATTAACCTTCATTTGATTGATGAAGAGAAAAAATTTAAAAATCCTTACTTGTCTTAATAAGTGTGCTTATTAGGGTGAAGCAGAATATTAATTTTTCCTCTGACCTTGAGAGATTCTTGCACTGTGGCTACAGTGAACTGCAGATGAGGAAACCTTTCCGCCTTCCTAGCTAGTCTTGGCTGGGAGATAATACTCCTAGAGCTCTTACAGCCAATAAGGAGAATGGAAACATTATTGTAATCGAAAAAACCACCACTACACAGGTTGGCTCCAGGACAAGAGTCCCAGCCATGTTTTCTAGGAGTATGTGAAGCTGAGATCAAATTCGCAACTCACAGCAGCAAAATACATACTTAGTCTGACATACTTGACCCCAAATGGTTAATCCAGGTTGATTTTCACAGACTATTATTCACTATTTTCTGTGTTAGTTCTTCTCTCAAATTAATAATAAACTAGATTCCCAGATTAAAGGGGAGATGGATTGTTGCTTTTAAAATGCAAAGAAGAAGAAACCTAATAAAAATTGTTGTCTACTAGGAGGGGACTGGGTGTCTGGGGCCTCACTTTCAATTTATCTATCTTTTGCATTTTGTTGCTTTTGCAAATATTTCCCGTCAAAAAGTAAATAAGTTTTAAAAAATTAAAAGCAACTGTAAAGGATCTGGAGTATTTTACATTCTATAAATGGAAGTCATAAGACTCTCCCAGGTAATTCCATGAAATTTTGTACTAAAAAAGTTCTAGAATCTGGACAGTATGAAGCAACGGCTCTCAGCCTTGTCACAATGGGCACAGCTGTGAGGAAAGAGGATGTGAGAGAGGGTGGCGGTGAGGGGCGGGAGGGTAGGGAGGGGCAGCTGATTCGAAGTGAGGGAGTCACATGTTTACGTGTCTGAAAAGTCCTCAGAGCCATTCTGAGCTGACTCCCTTCCAGACACCCCTCCCCGATGCCCCTCTGCTACCACTGCTTTGAGAATCAGCGCTGCACAGCTGTGTAGGGAAGGAGATTCAGATGTGCCGGCGGGAGTGTGGAACTGCTTTTAAAGAAAGCAAAGAAAACCAAAAAGAGCACACACAGGAGGTAAAACAGAACACCCAAAGCGCTGGAGCCAGTGGGGCTTCCCAGAAGGCTGTGCCCCAGGACTCTCAGACATGTGAGGGGAGTCCGCAGTCCTGCCCAAAGCCGGGGCGCACACTGCAAGCTCACCCAGTGACATGCCCACTCTCACGATAGCAAAAGCAAAGTCGACGTTAATAGCTCCCAGCAGGGTTAGGCAGAAAAGGTGAAATATCTGACTTAGGATATTGGGGGGAAATGCTCTCATCATGGGGGCGTTTCACAGCTTCATTCAAGTTCTTCATTGTCCATCAGGGTTTGTCCTGAATTTCCAGCCATAGACACCACACACCCACGTCATGTGGAACTTGCTATCTGGGCAGGGTTGGAGGGTGGAAAAAACAAAACTATCTACAGCTGAGACTGCATTATGAGATTATGATTGATTTTTTATTTTTCTCTCTATTTTGCTATTTTAATATTTTTCCATGTAACATGTAAATGTTTTTATATGTCTGTATAGGTTAATAAGTAATGTTATAATTGGTAAAATAGATATGTTTTTATAATTGGTAAGCAGATTTTTTTGAACGTAAGGAAGCAGTTCTTCACGGTAAATTGTAATTACAAGATTATCCAAAATATTCTGAGACATACATCATCTCTCCAAGAATAAACTGAGCTCCTCTCGGTAGACAAGCCAGGGGTAGAGCTCTGTGTGGCAGACCCAGACCAGGAGTTGGGGGCGTCCGTGGGCGTGCGGCTTCCGCTGGACAAGGACGGCGACGGGGACTCGCTGCAGGGATGGACGCAAGCAACAGAAATCACATTTACCGGAAGAGGTTACGCTGGCAAGCGGCCTCACCTCTCTGAGCCCACTTTCTCTTTCTTTTGCTAAATACATTTGTTAATTTCACAGTACACTATGTTAAAAACAAAACTGCTTTTTACTCTTAGAAATTCACAGCCAATCACTGATTTTGTTTGCCACATCTGTGATGGGCATGTTGTGATTTTTAAAATTAGGATTTTTAAAATTTAATGTGATTTTTAAAATTTAATAGGTTGATTCTTACCAGTCATATTTGTTAATGGCTTTCTGCACATTTCTTGTAAAATGTGTAGGTAAAGGATCTTTGCTTTTCACAGCAAAACTGCGCTTTCTATATCCTTCTGACAGTCCTCTTCTGAAAAATAAAATAAAACATGAAAAGTCTCCCTAACATCATAATATAGTTTTATTCATTAAGACTTTCATAATGTTCTGTTTGTTTAAAGTTGCTCCTCTTCTCCTGCCATGTGCCCTAAATACGTGTGCATGCACCCCCCAACCCCAACATCCTGAAGAAACTGAGGCCCAAACCTTGCCATTTTTATTTTTCTTAGAATCAAGTTTGCTATCAACCCACATGCACCTTTATGTGAAATGGAAACAACTTTTTATGACAGCCAGAGAAATAAAAGTTGCTCCAAACAGCTGACAGTATTTCAGACAGCCTTACTCCAAGCCCTAAGGCTTGGCAAGTGCGACATAGGCTGGATTTTAAGTCCCCCGTTGTCCCTTGACCAGGCCCCTTCAAACTTGCAAAACCCAACCAGCCCTCCAGTAAAAGAAAAAAAAAAATCATCAATTCCATATTAATTCTGAAACATATCAAATTCTTTTGAGTCGCTAAAAATACCACACAAACATCTAACTCATTTTACTTTAGCACTGTTGCTTAGTGTGCATCCTGAGTTTAAAGCATTAGCCAATATTAAAATTTAATGGAGAAATAAAATGGAAGAAACATCTAGATTTTAAATAAGCTATTAAACCTACCTGCTGTAGCACTGCTCATGTTAATCATTCAATGAACCTCTTAAAACATTTACTTTCTTCTAGTTAAAATATCTTCCTAATGTTTAACAGTCAACAGCTTTTTGTTCTTTGAATATAAATCTTATTTTCTCACAGAAATAAAATATATTAACTTAAGATATGATAATGAATTAGGAAAAAACCCTTCAACTTTCAATATTTCTAATATGGACACCACTATAGCATGCATTAAGAAGAAAGTTTGCTTTTGCTTTCAATTAAAATGATACCTAATTTTCAACACTTGTACTTTTTAATGTAAATGGAATAAATTCTGTTTTTAATTGTGTATCTATAGTACTTTACAGAAAAGGGAATTTTAAAAAACAAATTAATTACTATAAACAGAGATTAGGAAGAGTCTCTGCCTATCATCGATATATCTTGCACAAGAAAGAATGATAGAACTATCTGACTTTTTCCTCTCCTTTTTGCTTCTATGTCTTACGTACAGCCAAGTAATCCTAAGGATAAAGATATTAAAGAAAGGGTACCAGAGAGAATATAGAACAAGCTTTTATGCTAAAAATGCTGTATCTTCAACCTTCTTCAGTTGTTTTTAAGCCATTAATTATTTATCCTTTACATGTAACTCAAAACTTTCTAGTTAAATATAAAAATACTTAATGACAAAAGAAAGCAATCAGCAGTCAACTATAGAATTACATCAAATAGATCTGTTTTGAACATTAAGAAATATACACTGGTATATGAGTTAGTATGTTATTGAACATATAACCCTATATATGAACATATAAAGAAAAACTTTAAAACTCAGCGTGAGTTACCTAAAACATTGTCCTTTTATGACACATATCTATATAATAATAACAGTCCATCAGAATTTGCTCTGTCATTGATGCTTTGATCAAGTTACTTTTTCTCTTTTGGACTCAGTATTGTCCGTAAAACAATGACAGTACTGCCAACTTTTTTTATACTATTATGAGACTTAAAATGGATAAAGTATATGAAGTGTCTGTATCGTGCTACATAAATCCAGTTTACCTGCTCATTGCTCTTATTATCAAATGCTACTCTATGCTAAATCACTGTCTCTTGTTTCTTTGTGCCTCTAATAGCATTTCATATTACACAGATTTCTTCACATTTTAACTTTTTATTGTGATCTTTACACCTTATTCATTTTTTAATCTATAGCATCTAAAATGATCCTTGTCATACAAGAGGTGCTTGCTATCTTAGTTGAAAGAATCAACAGGTGAAGATTAGTGACTCAAACACAGAACACATTTTTGCTCTGTACTCTAAATGTTTATGCTTAAAACAAATGATTACATGGTGATCAGACATTAAAATATTCTCCAAATTCGAGACACTTTGGGGAGAAACTTTTACTCTTTATAACGAAAGAAAAGTCACAGCTCTTCTTTGAGTAGCTGATATTCCAAATATGAGGTTTTATCCCGAATGGAGCCTCTGCTCCAGTCATGACCACTTTTCTTGCTTCTAGCTCCTTGGCTGCCTCTTGTGCAACTTGAAAGCTAAATTGCCTAATGGGACGCTTGCTGGTTTGTTTGTTTTATTTTCAAAGAACAATAATGTCTTCCTCCAGAAAATGCACTCCATTTGGGGGTGGGGGAGAGTTAGGGGGAGGAGATCTTTTGAAACTAAGTAGAAACTTATTTACAAAGTGGAGGCCTCTCTTTGCATAACACCGCATCCTTTCCAAGATCAGCAGCCCTACCCACTTGGAAGTGTAGCTGAAGACAGCTCTCAGGTGGCAAGCCTGGCAATGATCACAGAAATGACAATGAAATGGCTGTCTTAAGGCACTGCCCACTTCCACGCCTTTTTCTCCATCTTTTTTCTCCTCTGCTCTTCCCTTCCTGGTCTCTGCCTGTGGAACTTCTTAAACTCCAGAGTTCAGTGTCAATAACATATAAATTTGACCACACATTCAGAAGATACTGGGTGAAGAGGAATTTGAGCCCAAAATACAATGACTGCCCAGGGTCACCAAGACAATAGGGATGGACTTCCTCCCAGGAATCAGGCCACTGACTTGCACATACTCCAGGTACCACAAGTTTCTAACAGTGGGAATTAAGAACAAAGTTTATAAAATATGTCTTTTTTTTTTTAACATCTTGTTTGGGTCTTTTGGTTTCCCTGTCGTCTAACCAAGCACTGCACTGCTATTCCATGCATAATGTTGAACATCTTTAATCTTCTGTAAACTATCAACTTGTATGCATTCTACACAGTCTAAGAAAGTGTACACAACTTACAGGATCCATCCTGTATTTTAAACCTTGAATGCAGTGGGCTGACTATGAAGCTTATATTACATAACAGATAGCTATATAACAAGTTTACACTAGTTCTGTCTACACTGTACATTCAAAACTGTTCATTTGGGGCCAGGACCTAGGTTCCCCTTGGGTGTACTGAAGAGCAATCACTAAGCTATATTGCACTACTGCGTTGGTGCATCAAAGTGGAGGCGAAGGCCCAGTCTCCACGAATCACTCCAATCCAGTTATCAGGGAAATGATCTAATCATCTATGTTTACTTTTTTAAGGCTGCTTCTTGAGAGCCCACAAACCTCTGCCACCTTGCCCTTCAGAAATTCAAAGGTTAAACAGCAGATGGCTGCTTTCAAAATTTTGTATTTCTATTTGAAAGGATGGCCTGAAATGAGCGCTGTCTTCTGGACGGGTTAAAACGCAGGGTGGCTCTCGGCACCGTGTGGCAGCCGCCGGCGAGGCCACTCAGGGGCGGCAGTCAGGGGGTGAGGCTGCCGCTCCAACAGACAACACTCCCCGCTCTGACTTGAGGCAAACAAGCCTGAGAAGCA